TCATTCATTCATTCATTCATTCATTCATTCATTCATTCATTCATTCATTCATTCATTCCTTCATTCATTCATTCAATAATAAGTTAGCCAAGGTATCTTATAGATTCTAAAGTGGAGGGATTTTATGATAAATTGACTGATCTAGACAGGATCTTGACAGGTACTGATGAAAAAATGATTAAAAAATTATACACTTATTTGTTGGAAATTTTATTAGAGGAGGAACAAGTTAAAGAAACGATGATTGTTTGGGGGAAGAATTTTGGATATGGGATTGATTTGGAGAATTGGGAAAAATTGTGGTCTCAAAATTATAAAATGACAATGTCAACAGCTTATAAAGAAAACTTGTATAAGATGTTTTACAGGTGGCATTTTCCCCCGACAAGAATTGCAAGAATGTTTAAGAACAAATCTGAAAAATGTTGGAAATGTCATCAGATACCTGGCTCATACTACCATATGTGGTGGACTTGTGAGGACGCTAGAAAATATTGGACTAAAATTCGCATATGGTTGGAAAAAATGACAAAGACACATATAGACTTGAAACCAGAGATTTTTTTATTGGGAATCTTACCGGATATATATAATAAAAATTTGAAGTATCTGATTGTAAATATATTAACAGCGGCTAGGATTGTATTTGCTAAGAACTGGAAGAGTGAGAAAATTCCATCAGAAGAAGAAATTATTAAGAAAATATTGGATTGTGCTGAAATGAGCAAATTGACATTTGAAATCAGAGAACAAGAAGATAAACAATTTTATGAAGTTTGGGATCTTTTTTATCAATGGTTAGATAATAAAACATAATGATAGAATATTCAGATTTAGCATAAAAAAATTTTTTTTTTTCTTAATATTATCTTTATAAAACATTATTAAGGTAGATTTGGTATGATCTTATGATTTATTGCAAAATAAATTAAGCAAACTATAGTTATCTCGTTAAAATATGAATTAACAAAATTATAAATGATTTTTTTTTTTTTTAGTGATGATATTAGGTTATACAATTGTTGATTGATAATATGAGCTATTATGTAATATAATTATACTGGTGACTAGGAAATGGATGCACAAAAAAAAAGTGGTAAACCAATCGATGCACTGTATGTAAATTTATGAAGAAGGATCTTTTTATGTTAAAAAAAAAATAATAATAATAAGTTAGTCAAGTAGGGCTGAATCACACAAGGAGAGGTCTACTTGGACTTCACCCTAGTCCCTAAAACCATATATACAAAGAACTCCCAAAGAACTGAACTGTGCATGTCCTGCTCCATAAAGGAAACTGTGCTAGTGTATCCAGAGCTGACACCAAGTGACATATGGGCCACTTATACATGCTGCAGCACAAAGAAGGGAAAAGAAAGAAAGAAAAGAATCCAGTTCACTATGGCAAGACATAATGACTTGTTGTTATGTAACATAATGATTTGTTATCGTGTTACTCATGTTAACAATTATATTATGCTCAGTTGTTTAGCATGGGCCACACGGATTCCAGTGGATGAGCAACACTGCCCTCGAGTGGGCAAAAAGAATTTATCCCAGGTGATTTTAGAAGATATCTTCCTGGAGGACACCACCTCGGTAACAATCTTTCCCTAAATATGCCACCCCTTTTCACTATGATGAATGGTAAACAATCATATGACCAAATCTGAGATACACGGCTGTAGATTCTTTCCCTCAAGCTGCCCTTTATTTTATTTTTCCCCCAGGATATGGGAGCTCAGAGGTATTTGCAGCTGAACTTCAAGACCCATCAAATCATTGGGCCTGCCTGTTAATGGACCCGCACTCCATCAAGTCCGACTTAAGCCAGTGGTGTCAACGCTGTGGTAGCCAATTTCCCATGATTTATTTCATACTACCCGACACCCATGCACACATACCTAAGCATGGAGTACATTTAGGTCTATGAATAAAAATGATGCAGATATACTATAAATGTTTCACAAATATTTACTGTAATATATTGTACTGTATATATATTATACTATTATGTATTATTCTTGTATAGTATATTCTATAATATACTAATGCTATTATTTATTATATTACAATATATAATATATAGTAGCATTAGTATGTTATAGAATATACTATAAAAGAGTATTAGCATATAACAGTATAATATAGGCACAGTAGCACATATGATAGAACTATAATATATTGTATTTCCAGCAATATAATATTCAACCGAAATAGGCTTCAAAGCACAAAAGGATGAATGTCATTAACCACTACAATCAGAAAACCCTACATGAAGCAAACCATACCTTCTATTATTTTCCAGAATAATTTTTGAAATAAACACTAATTCCTTTCTAACAAAAGGTGGTAGAAGAAGAAAGCAGGATACCCTCCACCCGTATCAGTTTCGCAAATCCAGGCCAGACATCCAAATTTCAAGGCTGATATAGCACTTGCAGAAATAATCCAAAAGATATTGCCATATTGAACATTCCATACCGCTGGGAAAAAATGCATCACATGTTTTTGCGCCATTTAAATTTCAGACTGACTAAAATACTTTGAACTCAATAATCATCATGTATCCCCACTTTAATCTCAGTTAACCATCACTTTTTAAAAAAACCTATGGCTTTGCAGAACATAAGGCTTTTTCTCTGGAATTTTAATGCAATTCCTCTTCAAGACAACCTGTTTACATAATAGTACATCACCTCAGCAGCTGTCACTATGGTAAAATTAGGTTCCCCACCCTGCTTCAGAATGGAAACTACTATTAGTGGCCACATTCCACTTCAGACAATATTATCTTTTTGACAACAAGCAAGAAAATAAATGAAGAACCAAACCACAATATGGAAAAAGGACAATTGTTGAGACTCTTGCCCACCAATGCAGATTTAACAAATGTCATGTTAATAAAAAATAGCAAATGTGGGATATAAATAAAATATTCAGGGTTTGCTCCATATAAATTATAAAATGCAATGATTCTCTGTCCCTTATCACTATCAATTGGACCAACAATGCGTCTTCTCTGACTAAAATTAACCAAGATGTCATAAGCATACCAGGACATTCATGTACAGTTAGCTCTTGTGTAGTGACAACTGGGACTGGCAACTTGGCCATTAAACGAAGCAGTTGTTAAATGACACCAGGACTGTTCCTTACGATTTTACTTTAGCTTTTCTTTGCTTTATAGAATAGAATAGAATTCTTTATTGGCCAAGTGTGATTGGATTCACAAGTCTTGGTGCAAATGCTCTCAGTGTACATAAAAGAAAAGATACATTCGTCAAGAGTCAAGAATCGTAAGGTACAACATTTAATGATAGTCATAGGGTACAATAAGCAAATATATCTGCAAAAGTTGTAAACGCTAGGATTGGTCACAAAGCTACTTTTTAAAAAAAACCATTGTCATAGCTGCAAACATTCTCTGAACAAGGCAGTGCTATACGAGGATTACTGTAATATTATTCATTTCATTCTGCCTTCAATGATTCTGCCGGACTACTTGCCTCCAACTACATCTGCTTGACCATGAGACTTAGCAGAAAAGTGTGCTTCAGTCCCTTCTATGAAAAAGTGTCATGTAGTGGGATCCAGTTGTGCTTTCTCTGTTACCACACCTCCCTGTGCAACACCACCAACTCCCTGGCCTTGACTCTCGCGTGCCTTCGTAAGACCCCGGAAATGTGGCTCTTCCACTAGGCATTGGACTTGAATGCAAGATGAGCTCATCCAGTCAGAAAGACCCTGAATGAGATAAGCATTGGCTAGCCTTGGTGAACTCTGTTTCTCTTTTAATGACTCCATTGTTCTTCTTTTCCGTTCTAGATGTTTATTGCATTATATATTCTAGTTCCTTGTTTTTGTGCCCCTATCAACTGAAAGTTTTTAAGAATTACTTTTTACAAAATTGGATGGCCCTACCTACCTACACAAGGGCATGCTAAATAGCAAGGTAAGATATTCAGCAGTTTTCTACCACCATTTTACCAAAGTCTGGGTTGACATGGACACCGGCTGCTGCCTTTCAAGGATATGAAAAAAAAATTCAGCCCACTACCCCAACTGCTGCCAAATCTTACCTGTGAGGATGGAGACACTGTGGAAGCAACTATCCAGCTTGCCCAGAAGAATGGACAGGAAACTGTCGGTTGCCAGCCCATTTATGTCCCTTGTGCTCTGATCATAGACCACAACATCTTGATGTTTCTCTGCCTCCACCTGCAAGAGTAGCATCAAAAGAGAATGTGTGAAAGGATGCAAATGGTACTCAAAACGTATAAGTGATAGAGAACTATCAAACACATATGAAAAACAATTGAAAATGTCTTCACTATTCCTCTTCAGATATAGAATATTCCTATGTCAGCTCATTATCTAAAAACTAATCCAGAAATTTAAAAATACTATTGTCTACTGATGACTTCCATAAAGGAGAAGAGGAGGAAAAGAGAGACAAATTTTGCTTCTCATCCCAAAGGCAAAGTGAAACTGGATGTCATGAAAAACAATAGCATTGTTTGTTTGTTGTTGTGTTCTTACTGCAGGGAAATAATTATTTGTGGATTTAAAAAAAAAACCCAGACTTAACTTGATTGATCTGGATATTTGGTGAAAGCAGGGAGAATTAATTCCTTTTAGGTAGCAAAATGTCTTGGGCCAGACCCATTAAAGTAAGAGCATAAACCATAATTATTGTAGTGCTTATATGTAGCCTTGAATGCAAGTTGACATCTGTGTAAGGAATGTATCTGTTGTGTTCCTTTATGGAAGGATTCTTCGTCGTTAAAAACTTTTTTTCAGAGCAAAAGCAGAAAACAAACCTTGCACATTCTAGACTGCAGGTCATTCCCTCCTATTAGAATATCACTTTTTTGAGTATGGTATATACTCAAAATGCACAGTCCCCTGAGGACTGGGAACAGAGAAGGAGCTTAGCAGGTTTCTTTAGCACCAAATAACCAAGCCAGCTTCACATTTGTGTCCATTGCACTGATCTATACAGAAAAGGAAATGGAGGATTCCCTAGCATTAAAGTTGCATGAATGTATCCAATGCTCTCAGGGTAGCGACAAAAGGGGGATTCTTCATGATGTCAAGTCACATGGCATACCCAGGCAATGAGATGAATAGTCTAGGCAGACAGCAAGGCACAGGCAAGGGTTGCTGTGCCTAACGAAAGGTTAATGCATTAAAGGCTGATGAAATCCTCCTAGTGCCATGGCTCAGTGCGTCCCCTGAATAGGCTGATCAGCGGCATACGCCGTCCTTCCGAGCTGGTGGCCTTCTGCCCTCTGGAGCAAAGCACATCTATCATTCTGCTGTCAGAGAAAGGCAGCTGCGGATGAAGCAAGGTTACAGAAAGGCAGAGAGAGAGAAAGAAGCCAGCTACAGATAAGGGGAGGGACGGGACACGTAGCTCTTTCCAATTTGTTCCATGGCTACGATGATATTGGAAGGAATTTAAAATCAAGGCAGTTTTTTTTTATCCTGTAGAAATGTTCAGTGTGTTATATATAAAAAGAAAAAAGCTATAGACTCAACAATGATAGAGTTAGGCCCTCAACCGTTTATTATTTGGAGCGTTTATTTATTTACAGTTGCAGTCTGGAGACTCTAATGGGGCAGTTCTCTTTAATGGTTCTAAAAGTATACAAATCAATACCTGGTCCTGATCTCATGCACCTCCTCACCCCATCAAAGGAGGGAGGGAAGGAAGGAAGGGACACACCTGAGATTTCTACAAAGGTTAGTTAGGGAAGACAACCAGAAATATAAATACATCCCTTTTCCCCGACACTGAAGTGTTCACCTTACCCTTTCCTGATCTGGGACAACTGATCCTAGTATGAGTTGGAAAGGCAGTGCCTCAGGCAAACAGAAAAGGCATTCTCTGCTTCCATGCAAAAGATTCTCAGGCTACAAGAATAGCTTACGCTACAATCTCATTTACCCAATTGCCATAGAGTTGCTAGGTTGCAAGCAGAAGAAAACATGTTTACCTCCGAAAAACTCCAACAAGCAGAACTAGAGACAGCTGCAATTTCTTCCCTTCATCGTCGCCCTCCTTTAGCATCTGTACTAGTATAGTACCCAATATATAGAAATGGGGTGTGGGGGGGGGGAGCCTGGGGTATTTAGTGTGGAATTCACGATTAACACGAGTATGGATAGGATAAACGATGGATTAATTATAGTCAGAGTTACAGCCTGCTGACTTACCATTTCAGGTTTGAGGGGAAAGAGCGTATTCCATTAGTATGCAGGTGCTGCCAATGCATTCCTCTTAAGTCACAGGCCTGCATTTCAGACAGCAAATCAGATGTGGCATCTTCACGGAATTAAATGGGGCAGTTGGGATAATGAAGCTTGATGAATGTATTGAAGATGAACAGCAAAATAAAGCTGATGTGGGAATGTACTGTATACAATGGCAAATTCCTCTAATCAAGCTACTCTCTATAAAAGGAAATTTAGCACAGAGTCACAGCATCCTAAATTGCAGAATAAATTAACAATGGCACTATGAGCATCTTCACAGAGTAAGAATACGACAATCCATTTGGAATAATTGCACTGGAACATATGCGACACAATCATTTCCAAGATGGTTTTTGAGTGCGTTGTTGTTAACTAAGGAGTAGGGAACAGTATATCTTTCTACAATTCCAAACAACAGACATTTGAAAAGCCCAAACAAATTCAACAGCCAAGATACCTTTCTCTGGACACAGAAGAATGGGAGAAACCCACTTGCAAATCCACACAGAAAACAGGTTCTGTTTTATTGTTTTGAATTCCCTGGACCTGTTTAAGTATGTGGAGTTGCCTGGCAACTTTCAACATATCCCTTCTGATTGACTCATGTCTGCCTGACAGTATGAAACTTCAAGGGATGCTAATTTAACTCTCAATTATGACTGTCAAAACAAACCCCTATAAGAGAACTGCGGAAATAATTATCAGGCATGTCAGATTTCACTAGGGGAAAAGAGGTGTTTGCTTTTGCTCATAATATCCAAAACTCAAGAGGAATCGAATCAAGAAGCGGAAGGATCATCGGGCTTTGTGACTGGAAGGGAGAGAACTGCCCTCTAAAATAGAGAGATTTTCTAGCTGTTTCGTCATTGCCAAACATATATAAACATGTATGTATATACTGTACTTAAAATCTTGCTATCCAGAGGTGGTATTCAACAGATTCTGACCAGTTCTGGAGAACTATTAGTGGAAATTTTGAGTAGTTCACAGAACTGGCAAATACCACCTCTGGTTGGCCCCGCCCCCATCTATTCTCTGCCTCCTGAGTCCCAGCTGATCGGCTGGGTCTTCTTTTCTTGCCCTGCACAGGAGAACGGAGCTGGAAAGCAGATTAGTGGGATGGGGAGGGAATGGGGATTTTGCAGTATCCTTCCCCTGCCATGCCCACCAAGCCGCACCACGCCCACCAAGCCACGTCCACAAAACTCAAAAAAAAAAATTTTTGAATCCCACCCCTGCTTCTATCATTGCTGAAGGGATAAAATCAGAGTCCCAAAGAAGCAGAGAGCATTGCTCTTATCTTATTTATTTCATTTATTTGATACGGCACCAGCATTCTCAGTCCGAAGTTACAGAACAAATATCTCTGCTGGAAAATATTAACAACATGGCAATGTTGTAAATGTCTGTGGAGATTCTCACTCATCCAGGTCATGGCTGTCTCAGATATGTTTTCCCCCCACCTTCCATAGGCACCTGGGCTGTTTTTTTTCTTGAGGAGGAAGATGAAAACATTTCACTTCTCATCCAGAATTTTCATTTTGAATTTGAGAACCTGAGCTTTTCATCACATTTAAGAACATGACTGTTTTTCATGTCTGTTTTCTGGCATCCATGTTAAAAGCAGTGTGAGGTGAGAATCCTATGGTACAGAGCAGGAGTTCATTTAGTGACCTTTCAAAGTTACAACAACACTGAAAAAGGTGACTTATGGCGGTTTTTCACACTTATGACGGTTGCAGCCAAGTAAATGATCACATGATTAAAATTCAGATGCTTGGCAACTGGCTCATATTTATGATGGTTACAGGGTCCCAGGGTCATACTAACTTAACAATGGCAACGATTCACTTAACAACATTTTACGAAAAGTCATAAAATGGGGCAAACTCACCTAACAAATGTCTCCCTCAGCACAATTGGGCTCAATTGCGGTTGCAAGTTGAGGACTATCTGTACTGTAGCATTTCAAGAGGGATTTATACAAATGATCGTCCGTCCGTTGTGTCATTAAAAGATTAGTTAAAAACCAGTACACATTTAGTCATGGAACATTATAAAACAGGGGTCCCCAAACTTGGCAACTTGTAGACTTCAACTCCCAGAATTCTATGCTATGCTATGCTGGCTGAGGTATTCTGGGAGTTGAAGTCCACAAGTCTTAAAGTTGCCAAGTTTGGAGACCCTGTTATAAAAACACACTCAAAGCGGGTATAGAAATAACCCCTCAGTTCCTAGACTTGAATACGATTGTGAAAAAGAGTCATTTACGCACAGCCTAGATACCCTGCTTGTTGCTACAAGTAAAATAACAACCTAACATGACAGGACTGCTAACTATGGAGGATATTAGCAGCCTCGGAAGCAGAATTATCCTACAGTTGGAATTAGGGTTGCTTGCACATGGCAAGAGCTTTGTTTGGGCCATTATTGAAGAGTTGCCGAGCAATGGCAGATAGATGCGATACAGTTTATATCTTATTAAGGTTATAGGGTTTCAGGCAACAGAAATGCCAGACAAGCTCTGGCAATGCAGAAGCAGCCTACACTGAGTAAACACAGCACTGCCTGGACAGAGTTCAGAAGGGCAAAGGATAGCGAGGGCGGGCATGATTTGTTTCAGCTCAACAGGATCTCTTGTCCTTTAACCAGAAATGGGAGAAATGACACCTATTGTGAGCCCCTGGTTAAGAGTTCACAGTATCCTAATGCTGAAGATGTCCAAGTTTTTATATACTTTGAAGGAGAATATTTGTAGCTCAGGGATGAAAGGAGGGGTCCTTAGTGCTCTCTGAGCTTGCTTGTTTTCTTGCAGACATTTCATTACCTAACTAGATAATACCATCAGAGCTAGTGATGTTACCTATTTAGGGTAATAAAACTCTGCAAGAAAACAAGGAAGCTCAGAGAGCACCAAGGACCCCTCATTTATACACTTTCTTCCAGGGGTGGGCTTCAAA